CAAGCAGAAGGAAAATCCCCACAGATGGCAGATTGCCTGGGCCGCCAGGTATCCCTGGGCCCAGCCTGTGCATGCTGACGTGGACGCCGGAGAAGTGCACGACCAAGTGCGCTGCATCCCCTGCACGTTGATGAAGAAGAGCGACTACCTGATCGTGCGCACATGAACGAAAACGCGCCAACGCAGTGCGTGCCTCTTGGTCTATGAGGGGAGTTGTAATTTATCGGGGGGGGTCTGGGGGGGGCGTAGCCCCCCCCAGCGCCCCACTCTTAAGGAATACAGAACGGCGACGCTAGCAACTTTGTTACTTAGGTTGGAATAAATTGAGACCCCCCCTAAATGAAAAAAAAATCACTGCGAATATCCCTCTTTCTTTCCTCCAACTAACTAAATTATTATTACCCAGTGTATGGCTCCTTGGTCTGGTTCAATGTTCACACTCCACTGGACATGCATAAAGCGCTATACAGCAGGCCACCCGCCACACTATATTGCAGGAAGACCATGCATGTCTTCCTCACACGCCGTCTAGTTACCTGGCCCACAAACACATCGCCACCAAATGTATGTATGTAGGGACCCCTGCTGCTCAGCTGGTTCCCACGAGCCCTCCTCTGCTTTTTAGCCCTCCCTGAGTGACAGCAGAGGCTGTCTGCTGGTATGGTTCCCGAACCTACATGTGCTGCATGCTTTTCAATGATGTTCTGATCTGGCCACTGCTGCGACTCTTCCTTATCCGTCATCTGCTTGTAGAAGGTGGCCTCCGATTGGTTCGCGGGAAAGCGGGAAATGTTGGGCGGCTGGAGGTGCAACTGACCTATCCCGACGAATGGGTTGCTCTATGTGATGATGGCACGTTCACTGCATACGAGGCCGGGGTGGGTTATTACATGCATATGTATGCAATCATGCGTTGTAGCAGTTGCTCACCTGGTGAGGCGACTGGCTTTGCGTAAGCGTGGAATTCAGGGTCCTAACTGAGGCAGGAAGACGTCCAACACAGCGACAAGCACTAGTGTGCATAGACCCTAACACAAAACAACTAAGACGGCGGCAGCGGAGTCTTGAACACCGAACATCAAGTAATCGTGATACTGAAGTGCCTGGGCAGCTTATATCTCGGCCTACCTGCCGGAGATTCCCTACTACGGACCTGCCGTACTAGGATACTATCGGTGGGGCCCGGGGCCCCAGCCAGTTAGGTTCGCTACGGGCAACTGCCGTTTTTGTGACATGTCACGATAGTACGTGACATGTACGAAACTTGAGTTGAATCGTCAACGAAGTTAACGGTTATTGTTAGCAATAACCGTTGCAATATTGTAAGGAAAATGTAGCGTACTACATGTGTGAATGCACAAAGTAGACGGTGTTAACCGTAAAAAGACCAGAGCCAGTGTTTTAGATGAAGCGCCCCAGAGTGGCATTCAGATGGCGTTCTCAACCAACAGTAGTTACAAGCCACCGGCTTATCAATGAGGAAATCAGTAAAGTAAGGTGCTGGCAGCAGAGCGCTTTAGCGTTTATTTGTAGATGATGAGCGCGCCGTACTGTATGTGACTGCATCGGCAGAGATGCAGGCAGGCAGATATACACATTTTCCTCCACCACAAATCCCCAAGTGCTGACCCCGAATATACCTGGAAACATGGGGTTCACTCCACAATTTCATGCCTACAGAATGCACACACATAGTGGTTTTTGTGGTCTAGTACGTTAGGAAAACTTTTGACCACCTATGGGTGACACCTCTGTGTAGTAGGTAGGGACCGTCCCATGAGGGTGTCGCCTACAGGTGATGAAAATGTTTACTGGCGTATTTGGCCCCATCCCCCCATCTCATGCATTTATGCTACAACGGCGTCCAATCCCTCACTCAGCTGGTGCCCTGCCTCCCCTGCCTCCTTTCCTCCCCATCACATGGTGTCTTTACTCGGTGCTGGATGCGTATGCTTTCCGTTGGCTGGTGGGAACTTCAAACGGCTCGGTAATTGATTCATGGCCCTCCATGTGCTCAAGTAGCTCTTTTGCAAGATGTTGGGCTACTCTTATGGCCGCCAGTTCTATGCCCAAGGCATCAGCACCTATGGCCCCGATGAATCCGATCCGTAAGTTTGTTCGTGTTTTGTGTGCATGTGGATGGACGGATCCATTCTGTGCTCCTAGGAGCAGGCCTGCCTCTCACGACCTGGATCCTGAGGCTGAGGTAGTATTAAAGTTACTGCTGCGACTGTGCTAGTCGGCTAGAGGGAATGGAATCCAAGCAGCTGCCAAGGCAATTATCTACTTTGCAAAAGCGGCCGACAGCCAAGGGCAGTAGCTGGCACCTGATAAGGCCTCCATAGATGCTTGCAGAGCGCCTTAGCGTGTATTAATAGACGACATGTGTGCCGTGCTATGTACAGCTACTGCACAAGCCACATGCATTCTGGCTGCATGGCAACACTGCGGCGGCTTTAGTGGTGGCATTTCGAATTGTGAAGGAAGTTGACCCTGTTGTTGTTCCTCACATGCCATACCGTGTTTGAATTGCAATCTATGCAACCTACGCATGCACACCTGCTGCAACACCTGTAAATTGCAGCAAATTGATTGGAGCTCCAGATATGCGCTATTTGGGTGTTCTTATGTTGCTGTTTGAATAGTACAGCGACCATGAAGTCACTCGTGAAGAGCTTACTTGGTTAACGTTGCTTGAGTCCGATGGCCCCACACCCAACGTGCAGGCCAGCCAGGTCTAGACTGTTCTTTCGGACCTTACTGCCCGAAATCCTTCGCGCCCTCTCGTCACCCTGCCGGATCCACGGCATCCTGGATTCATCCGCGTCCTGTTTGACCCTGGCTTAATGAGCCCTGATGGCCCACTGACCCCTGACCTACGGACCCTGGTGTACCTGCAACCCCAACACTCCTCTTCACAGGCCCGAGCTCCGAGGGAACTTGGTGTGCACGGGTGATAATGATTCCTGGCCGCCATATGCATTCGTCGTGCAAGAGATCAATTTCACTAGTCAGCAGGAGGTGTCATGCCAGGCGTTCCACGTTGCCTGCCCCCGCAACATGTTGGTAGCAATGGAATGTTCCAGTAAGTTTCATATAATCATACTTGCGTTTGTGTCTATGTGTCTCCTACTCGTAAGGGAATGATGCCTTTCCTGGAAAAAGCATATACCTGCCGATAAGGAAATTCGTCATAACATCTGTCGTAGCTGTCGTACGCATACATGATACATAGGCATCGTAAAACGCTCTGGCAGTAGCAGCACCGCCTGTGTCATTTTTGGCAGCGGCCTCACATACAGCGGCCTCGGTACCTTGACATGCATGGTGGTGGAATTGATGAAGCAAGGTCGTCAATGCAACCTGGCCGACTGACTTCATAGCAGCTGCTATTGGAGACGCCAATCTGAGCATAATGCCATATCACGACTTCAGAAAAGTACCGATCGGCGGATGCCGTAGATAATACATGCCGATAACCCCCCCTACGACTGGGTGACGCGATCTTCAGACGACCGCAATTTAAACAGGATTACTTCGAAATCAGTTGGCCAGACGAACCAGGAACGTGGGTTCCAGCTTTAACCAGGTAAAGCCCCACCCATACGCAGGTTTGGACTTCTGTCCGCAGCAGTGCGGCGGCATTTAGATGGCGAACTCGAGTTCGGCCAACAGTAGACGCAAACCACCGGGTTTCAGTTAGTTACAGCGGTTTTAAAGGGGACCAAACAGTTTAAACCTCCAATCGACAGTTAGGGAAACAGAGCTGTGAGCAGAGGCTCGCAAGTCGGTTTCCCCGGCTACAGGAGGGCATAATTTCGGTCAGTAAACCTAAAATTCTTGTTTGGGCGACAAACTAAGGTGGCATTATAAATGTTGCTCGTTCCGTACACCTTGCAATCCGATCGTTTTACAAGGCCACGCCTTACACCTCTGTTCGTCGTCATGCCGGCCCATGCTTGCGCACACTGCACATGGGTGGAAACAGCCATGCTAGCACCGCATCAACAAATCACATGAGTGTGTAGAGGTGCATCCTAGTGGAGGACTTGCACTTGGCCATCGTCCCCTAAAAATGCATCCTCCCCCTTCGAGGATCCCGACATATTCAGCTTCACGAAAAGACTGTCGTTAAGCTGAATAGCTGGCAAGCGTGTCTGCCGGTCCCGCTTCATGTCAGTATGGGCGGAAAACAAACACTCGCAATTGACCGGCGTGGGCTTAATTTGCACACAGAGCAGCGCGAGCTTCCACATCTCCGAATTAAGGTGCTACTTTTGTGCGAGCTTGGGTTAGATTAATGTGGTGGCTTGCGCACGTGTTCCATCAGCCCCTCCGCAGCATCAGCACCCTCATAGCCCTCATCACCAACACATAACACTCCCCCACACTCACGGCCCGTGAGCCTAACATGATAGCTTACAGGATATAACCAAAGGAAGCGCCCTACACATTGCGAAGCCTTTTCGTTGGCCGGCTATTACATCTTCTGGCGCTTCACTTTCTCTCTCTCTCTCTTTCTTTCTCTCTTTCTCTCTCTCACTCTCTTGCTTTTGTTCCCCACGCTTGCACAATGCGATGAGTGTTAGATAGATACTATTCATCGGAGAAGTGAACAAAGTACACCTAATTATGATGCTTCCCTGTTGCATTATTGTTACAACATTATTGTTGCTTTATTGTTGCATTGTCGCTGGCTGTCCTGGCCCGCCTCCGAGACTACTCCCCCTGCCATTCCCCCCATCCCAGAGACGCCGTTTAAATATAATGGGCCTCCACCGCCGCCATCTATCCCCAGTAAGTCGCCTCCATGTTATTGCGGGAATGGACCCACTTGGGTGGGTCCCGGGGCCCAGTGACCGCCATGTATAGCTGCTGCTAGTGCTGCAATAACCGGCCAACATACAAAGCCATGCATGCTTCTAGCCCCTGTTATGCATGTTACACTCACATAAAAAATAATTGGCGTTTCTCCCGCACTGCTGTTTGGCACAACTTAATATACATGGTTGAAAACTCTACTCGGCATCAGCAGGTTTGGCTATTTACTATTTACTGCCAGGCTGCGGAGCCTGTTCATCTGTATGTTCATATGCTGTGCATATATGTGTAATCAAGTACCCTTCCCTTGCTCCTTCTTTCATGCAAACAAGAGGGTTGTTCTGAACGATCATGGATAGCATGTACATCAGCACACCACCATAATTATGAGTGGTGTAGTCCATGACCGTTCAAATAATGTTAATATGTCCCTAGGCCAGGCCTGGCGGTTGTCTACCTGCAGCTGCTTGCCCCCGCCCTACACTTGCAGGTCCGCCACCGCCACCACCCCCACCGCCCAACATGCAAGATCTCATCCGCCTTATCCGTCTTACGGATTCAGCCCCCTGGGCGCCCGATGGACTTGTCGTGCTTTTGGTCAACTCGGCGGATGGTGGCGAGCCCGTATGGGCGCCCTTGTGTGCTGATGGTATAGCTGAAGTGGATACGATTGCTAACATGCTGTGCAAGCAGGTGACATACATGGGTACAGCAGCCAGATTAATCTTTTCCTTTCCATTGCCCTCGTTCTGCACGCAGTATCAATCCCCTTATGTGAGGTCATCCATCCATCCATTCGCCCATCCAATCCTCTGACCTTTGTCTCCTGCCTGCCTTGTTAACATCCACCCATTCACTCACCCATGCTGCAGTGCTACCGACTGATTGTTTTTCTGCATACAGCTCATGCCGCATCTCAGCCTGCTACTTAGTGTATGTGCGCTATTATTGCCCCTACCCACCGTGCACCTGCCTAAATATATCAATCACATTTCGTTCACCTCTTTTCCGGCAATTCAACAATCTGTCTACCCGTATCTCCTGCCTGCTTTGCTGGCCCTTGCTGGTGACTGGATGCTTCAACCATTCGCACCCATGGGTGTGTCATATCTGGCCAGAACGATGGCTTCCGTGACTCACCCATCCGTACCATTATTGGATCTGCGTGGGAGGCAATCGAGATTACACAGGGTGGGTCCCTTTATCACTAAATCCTCTTGCAACCTAGTATGCCTAATAAAGTAAGGCCAGAGCTGACTTTGAGCCTGGGGTCGCATGCATTGTTGTACCGGGTGCCGTATCTGCACTTCGGGAGTTCATGCAGTAGTGCCAGGTTTTCCTGCCACACCTTGGCTAGGGCACACCAAGACGGTGTCACCCAGGGGAGGTCGTCCCTGTTACGAATGGCTAGTGTAATGATTGATTATCCTTAAAGCTTATTACACAGTCTTGCTTCTCACTCCCAGCCCGAGCGAGGTGAGTGACACCCCCGGCCAGGCCACCAAGCCCAAAGCAACATGGCCATGCATGCATGCTTACATGCATGCACTCCCAACCCCATGCTACCTCCGTTCGGTATCACATGCAATTTCGGTTTTTCCTTGGGCCCGTCGCCCCATAATACCCCCCTCAACTTCTGGTGCAGACAGAATGAAGGTGTGAATGAAGAAGCAGATTAACCAGCGAGCCAGCTACAATCGATTGATATCTCCACTGTGTGTAGACGAATTATCATTGGCTTCCCGCAAAATCCCCAAATATTAAAAGGTTTTTAATATTTGTCTGTAGAAGGGTCATCGTGTAATAGATAGGACCGAGGAATAGTTCGTACATCGGTTCATAGAATGGCTTGTAGATCTTGCCATTAGTGTGTTATATAATAAGTATATGCATTTCAGTCCTGAGAATAGATGGTCTATAGGCATTCTCCAATCTTACAGACGAGTTGCACATAGACTTACATGCAACATACTATGTGTCGTGTGCATGTGAATCTGCGTGCAGCATCTACAATCAGCGATTTTAACCCTTCCGAATATTCACACTGGGTAACGGTGGTGGGCGGCATCAGCAGCAGCGCCTACACAGTGTACGACACACAGTTGCAGGTAGGCAGTGCGGGGGCGGGGGCCAGCTCAAGGTCGCTGCCACGCACTGCACTAGCTAGTGGGGTTAACGGTAAATGTGGGAAGGTGTATGTGGCCACATACAGGGCGCCATGGCGCCCTGTGTTATACCATGACTAGTACTTCAGAAAAGTACCGATGCAGATCTCGTGATATGCCCAGGATCCTATACCCTGATGTTTGTGTATGGATACTGACAAATAAATGCGCCACTCAAGTCCCTATGGCATAAACATGCGGGTTACGGAC